CCTCTTGTTTTGGAAGAGCATATATGTGCTAAATAAACCCAAATGCTGGTAGCAAATACGGTTTCTTTAAAAAAATATGTATATATTTTTTGAGACAGAATCTCACTCCATCACCCAGGCTGGAGTGCAATGGCATGATCTTGGCTCACTGCAATCTCTGCCTCCTGGGTTCAAGCGATTCTTGTGACTTAGCCTCCTGAGTAGCTGGGACTACAGGCATGCACCACCATGCCTGGCTACTTTTTGTATCTTTAGTAGAGACCGGTTTTCACCATGTTGGCCAGGCTGTTCTCAAACTCCTGGCCTCAAGTGATCTGCCCACCTTGGCCTCCCAAAGTGCTGGGATTACAAGCGTGAACCACCGCGCCCAACCCAGAAAATATAAGTTCAATACATTTGAAATCCTTAAAAATGTAAAGATTAAAAATCACTAAGAATGCAGAGTAAGCATGGGGACAGGAGGATGACAGAGAAGGGGTGGGAGGGACAGAGAAAGGAAGAGAGAGAAAAGAGAAGAGAAAAACCAAACACCTTCTTACTTAAAATAAACACACACATAAAACATTCCCAGGCTTATGAAGAAACTGAATGGTAGGAAGAAAAACTAGGGGGAAAAAAGCAAAATACAAATTCACTCCAGAAACAAACAATTTCATAGGTCAACCTGACAAAGACTTTTAAAAGGAGAAGACATCATGGCCAAGTAGAGGGTGCTCCATACATTGAAGGAGAACGCTCGAGAAATCTACTTATGATTCAAACAAACAGACGAACAGATTAAAAGGGAAAAAGGATAAGCTGATCTTGAAAGGTGCTCCTAAATATTTAATAATAAACAAGACTTTTCTGGTTAAATGAACAAACAAACCCTGGCAAACGAGGCAGTGGAGGAAACGTTGGCATCACTGAATGTCTGCCAGAAACCAAAGGCGATGTCAGAGCCAAGGGGGCACATTAGTGTCCTCCCGTAAAAGCCTCACATAAGAGGCTCTCACTATTGTCTTTACTTCCAGTGGCCAATGTCCCTCAGATAATCTCTAAATTCAATGCAATCAACATGAAAATTCCAAAAAGATACTTAATGGACTTGGCAAACTGATTTTCTTTTTTTTTTTTTTTTTGAGATGGAGTCTTGCTCTGTCGCCCAGGCTGGAGTGCAGTGGCTCCATCTAGGTTCACTGCAAGCTCCGCCTCCCAGGTTCATGCCATTCTCCTGCCTCAGGCTCCCGAGTAGCTGGGACTACAGGCACCTGCCACTACACCTGGCTAATTTTTTGTATTTTTAGTAGAGACGGGGTTTCACCATGTTAGCCAGGATGGTCTCGATCTCCTGACCTCGTGATCCGTCCGCATTGGCCTCCCAAAGTGCTGGGATTACAGGCGTGAGCCACCGCGCCTACCACCCCACCCCTCACTTTTTTCTTTTTTTTTTTTTTGAGACAGAGTCTCGCTTTGTTGCCCCAGCTGGAGTGCAGTGGTATGCTCTCGGCTCAGTGCAACCTTTGCCTCCTGGGTTCAAGCAATTCTCCCACTTCAGCCTCCCAAGTAGCTGGGATTACAGGTATGCACCACCAAGCCCGGCTAATTTTTTGTATTTTTAGCAGACATGGGATTTCACCATGTTGGCCAGGCTGGTCTTGAACTCCTGACCTCAAGGGATCTGCCTGCCTCAGCCTCCCAAAGTGCTGGGATTACAGGCATGAGCCACTGCGCTGGGCCTCGGCAAACTGATTCTAAATTATAACAAACCAGAGATGAGAGACTTGCTTCATTCCCTGGAAAAATAATAAGGAATGTAGTGGTAGCCAAGTGGAACAGAAAACAATAAGGAAAATAACAAAGTACGTATAGAATCCTAGGATGTAATAGGAGCACTTCGAATCATTGAAGAGAGGAGAAACCGCACACTCATAATTAGCAATGTTAAGACAATTAGATGGTAATTATTTTTAAAAGTTACTTTACACATTATTCACCTCTCTAAATTTGAGGTAGGCTAAAAATCTGAAAGTCAAAACCAAAATGTAAAATTATTAAAACTCTTTCTGTAATCTTGGAGGTTTACAAGACACCAAACTAGAAATCATAAAGTAAAAAGAGGTTTACAAGACACCGATAATCTCAGAGGTTTACAAGACACCAAAACCGGAAACCATATAAAAAGTAATGACAGGTTTGCCTTAACAATGAAAACATTTTTATATGACATAAGACATCTTAAACATGGTAAAGAAAAAGCTAAGTGATAACTTGGGAGAATATATTTTCAACATATATAAATGGATTATTAATATACATAATAAACGAGTCACTCCAAAAGTTAAGATGTAAAAGAGAATTCAACAGGAGATGAACAAAAATTTCTCCACGTTCATCATAAATGAAATCCAGATGGCCAATCCACATATAGAAAATGTACAACTTCACCCATAATCAGGGAAAGAAAAAAATCAAGCAACATTGAGAATTTCCGTACATAATATTGGACAAAAATTAGAAGATTGATAATTTCTCTAAAGGTAAATTGGCCCTTTTAGGCACTACCTGGGAATGTCAGCTTAGCTCAGCTGCTTTGAGACTGATTTGACAATACCTATTAAAATTTCTAACGCACAACCTCTTGCATGGTAATTCTGAATTTAGCAATTTAGTCTGTAGAAACAGTTCCGTAGACGTGGAAAAATTAGAAACAATCTAGGTGTCAGTCAACATGAGATTAGATGCATTGTGGTGTACTCATCCTAATAAATGCCACATATTTCTTAGGATTACTTAACAAGTTAGATCTATATGTATTATTGTAGAAATTTTGAAATATTCCAAAATATAATATTAAGTAAAAAAAGAAATATATATATAAATAATATATATATAAAATAATATATAAATAATCCCATTTCTGTAAAAAGAAAAACTACCAGCCGGGCACGGTGGCTTAAGCCTGTAATCCCAGCATTTTGGGTGACTGAGACAGGTGGAACACCTGAGGTCAGGAGTTCGAGACCAGCCTGACCAACATGGTAAAACCCCATCTCTACTAAAAATACAAAAATTAGCCAGGCCTGGTGGCAGCTGGGGACTGTAATCCCAGCTACTCAGGAGGCTGAGGCTGGAGAATCACCTGAACCTGGGAGGAGGAGGTTGCAGTGAGCCGAGATTGTGCCACTGCATTCCAGCCTGGGCGACAAGAGTAAACACATCCATCACAAAAACAAAACAAAACAAAAAACAAACAAAAAAAAAGAAAAGGAAAGAAAAACTACATGCTTGTATCATGCTTAGAAAATGTTCTAGGCTGGGCGCGGTGGCTCAAGCCTGTAATCCCAGCACTTTGGGAGGCCAAGATGGGCGGATCACAAGGTCAGGAGATCGAGACCATCCTGGCTAACATGGTGAAACCCCGTCTCTACTAAAAATACAAAAAACTAGCCGGGCGAGGTGGCGGGCGCCTGTAGTCCCAGCTCCTCGGGAGGCTGAGGCAGGAGAATGGCGTAAACCCGGGAAGCGGAGCTTGCAGTGAGCTGAGATCCAGCCACTGCACTCCAGCCTGGGCGACAGAGCCAGACTCTGTCTCAAAAAAAAAAAAAAAAAAAAAAAAAAAAAAAAAAAGAAAATGTTCTGGAAGAATACATGTGGTGAGAAGAGTAAGCTATGGAACTTGGGAAAAGAAATTGCTGGGGACTTTGTCTCTTGTACTGCATACTTCTAGATTATTCTGATTTTCATGAAGTCAGGTTTCTGCGTAGTTGCTTGTTTAGTATTAAATACATTCCTTCTACAGTTTATGAACTATCCTATGGTGTTGGTATATCTGTACACTGGAACAATATAAATAAAACTGCAGGATGAAAAAAAGAGTGACCAAAAGCTAATTGGAAATGTTCGCTCATTATAAAATGATTAAAAAGCAGGAAATATAATAGAAAAAATTTAGAATTTGGCTATACAAAAATATAACAGCAGGGTTTTTGAAGACTAAAAATTGCACATATGCAGCTCGTCACTAGCACCCATCTGACAAGGTCCCAGTAAAACCTGCCCTTTCATTCTCAGGGCCAGTACGCACACCTGCACACACCCTAAAGCAGACACCCCAGATACCTACCTACCCAGCCAACATACTTGGTTACAGAACACACACACCTGGGCACCAACGCACATCAGCAACCCAAATAAGCAGTGCAGAGTGTCAGAACTAAGTTCACTCTGTTAAGTTCAAAGTGAGCTTCTCTCAAGTTCAAAGTGAGCTTCTCAAGCCACACCGCACCCAGCTCTGGGCCTCAGCGCAGCAAGCTTCCAGGTTTCACCCTCTGCCTCTTAGTCTCTCTGCACTCCAGCATCCCCAGGGATCCGCACATGCACATACACACAGAGACACACACACAAATGCCCACACAGGCAAACACACGAGCATGCATTCTCTCTGTTTCTACATCAAGATGTCAGGGACTCTCTATGCTCACCATTCCACAAATGAGGAGACAGAAGCCCGGGGTGGACAGGGGGTGCTCTCACTACCACCAGCATCTTAGTGACAAAATGAAGACAGACCATAGGTGCCTGACTCCCAGGCCTGAGCTCTTTCCACCCCACTAGGTGTCCTTCCCACCAGGACCAACCAGATCCCACTGGCGAGGCTGAGTCCTCCCCAGAGCTATCGTACAACACCAAAGCAGCTTGGCACCCCTGGCTGCCTCCCCACCCGCTGGCTGCCCCAGGAGTCTGGGCTCAGGTCATCCCAAGAGGCCAAGCCCTAACTCTTCCAAGTCCCCAGGGCGCAGCTGCCCACAGGACGCCCCCCAGGCACCCCCTGTCCTTTTCCATCCTGGATTCCCCACATTCCCCTCTGCTGTGACCCCACCCTGCCTCAGCACCGCTCCTGGACGCCGGAACATACCTCTGTGTGGTCGGAGAGTCCAACTTTCTTCTGGAGCCTCTAGGCAGAGTGAGCCTCCCACGCTTCCTATTTACGTTGACGTCATCAGGAAACAGAGAAGCAGAAAGAGGAAGCAGTGCCAGCCCAGGACTACTTTGCTAATAGTGCACGTGACTTTTCTTACTTCCAGAAGGCCTTCTACTCCACCTTATCTTCTTACAAACTTCTAGGCCTCCTTCAAGCCTCAGCTGACACAGGGCCTCCTCCATGCAGCCTTCCCTGACTCCTCGATGGCGATGCAGGTAGAAATGGCTGCAATAACCACAGCTGGTTTGAGCCCAGAGCCAGGCAGATCTGGGTTGGACTTCCAAGTCCACTGCTTCTTAAAGTGTGTCCTTACGCAAATCATCTGCGTGTTACTTCCCCAAGCCTTGGGACATCCATCTGTCTGTTACTTTTGCAGAAGCATCTACAAACCTGGAAGGAGTGTTGAGGGGATCCAGCGAGACTGTGTGCAGGAAGACCTTAGCTCCGAGCTGGCCAGAGGAGAACCCCTTACAAGTGGTAGCTGGTGGTATGTTGATTTCCCCCATGTCCTCTTTGCCCTGCCGTCCCACCCCACCATGTGTCATATGGTCATGCATGTTCATGGCTGTCTTTCCTCCGACACTATCTTCAGTGCTGGCTTGAGTCTGGCTTGCGTTTCCCTCCCAAATACCTAGCACATGGCCTGGTACAGAGGAGACCTTTAGTGACTGTGTGTGAATGAATGAATGAATGAATGAATGGCTCCCTGAGCACAGCAGGGCTAGCAGAATTAAGGTCAGATGAGTGAGGCACTCTCTCGGGCTCAAAATTTAAATAGGCATCTCAAAATTCAGTAATTGATATAAGTAATATTTTAATGCAATATGGTTTAAAAAAATCTCAATTAATGCAGAAACTATTCATGGTGAACCAAATAGGAAAAGTTTGAATAAAGACAGAATGAGTCACAGTGCCAAGACACAACACAATGCAGTCAGATTTCTCCTACATGGGGCTATCTCCCAGGGGAAAGGGCAACAGACAGGAATGAGGGGAATGGAGGGCAAGAATGAGGGGAATCGAGGAAATGGAGGGGCGGGAAGCTGCCTCAAAGCCACTGGAATTCTGGCTTGATTGTTCTTTGCTTTCCTCCTACCAGGAAGGGCAGGGTTGGCCAGGAAGAGCTGGCAGGGCCTCACCCTAGCAGAGAAAGCCCAGGGTAGAGGAAGGCATGGGTGGTTCTCTCGGGCACTCCAGCCAGTGTGATGTCTCTGCCTGGCACGGAAAAACCCTGCAGGGGATTCTCCAGGGCTGAAGAGGATGGAATTAAAGCGACATCCCAGCCTCTCTTTTCTCCCAGGTGTCCCCACTCTGCCTGTCTTTCCTGAGCTCCTCTGTGGGACTGGCAGGCTGCAGGCCTGGATGCCCTCAGGAGCACAGAGGATGCTGACTGGTGGAGAAACGAAGACCCCGAGACTCTGACCCAGAATGACTCCGGACACCAGACCCAAAATGTGAAGGAGCCTTAGGAACACCTCAGCCAATTCACTTGACTGATCCTCTCCTTTTAAAAGTTGTCATAGAGCAGCAGAGGATAAAAATCTACATTTGAATAAGTCTAACAGAGTTCTCTCAATAAGTATTAAAAGCTCTAAGCGAGAAGAATCACATTGTCAGGAATTCATTGAATGTTTTTGTTTGTTTGTTTGTTTTCTCCCTCAGTGGTATGTAAAATACCGTTTCTTGCAACTGACAATCTTTCAGAGACTAAGAAACCCAAGAAAATGTTGGCAAGAACGTAGTACTCATAATGACCAGGGCTTGAGCATTTATGCTGTGAGCAGACCCTGGGCTCGGTGCTTCTCCATCTCTTCCCAGTAACCTTTATGTAGCTGTTACTGTCTTCACCGTACAAGTGAAGAAATTGAGGCATGAAAAGGAAGCTAACTTGTTGAAAGTAGTAACTCGTATATGTTAACATTGCATTTTTTTCCATTTCCATTTTTATTCTGAAACTATTTCAAAATACAGAGTGTTAAAGGAACGGTACAAAGAACTCTCACATACCCTTTGTGTGGAAACCCCCTTTGAGTTTCACTAAGTGTCTCAATAAATGTATTTTCTAGCAAAGGATCCATCTGGGACCGTGCATGGCTCTTAGTTACCGTGTCTTTCGGGTCTCCAGTTTGAAACAGATGCCTTGTTTTTTCCTTGACATCTCGAAGACTGCAGGCTAGTTGTTTTGAATAATGTCCCTCAATTTGGCTCTGTCTGATGATTAGACCGAGGTTATGCTTTTTTGGCCAAAATAACATAGAAGTGATGCTGGATTATTCTTGATGAGTCCTATCAGCTTTCATTGTCAATCTGTACCATCACTCATGTTGTTCACTCTGATCATTTGATTAACTTGACCTCAGTCAAGTTTCTCTATTGTAAAGTTACTTCCCCTTCCACATCGTAATTTATAAGCATTTGGTAGGGAGATACTTTTAAGCTTTCTCATCCCACTCCCACACCTGTATAATTTCAATATGCAATGATGTTCCTTAATTTAATTAAACATTACCATGGTGATCATTGCCAAATGGTGATTTTTAAAAATTCTGTCATTTAGAAGTCTTAGCCAGAGCAATCTGACAAGAGAAAGGAATAAAAGACATCCAAACAGGAAAAGAAGAAGTCAAACTTTGTCTCTTCTTTGGTGATATGATTTTGTACCTAGAAAACCCTAAAGACTCCACCAAAAGTCCCCTGGAACTGATTAACAACTTGTGTAAAGTTGGAAACAAAATCAATGTGCACAAATCCGTAGTATTTCTATACACCCGTAAAGTTCAAGCTGAGAGCCAAATCAAGAATGCAATCTCATTTGCAATAGTCACACACACACACAAATAAAATACTTATGAATGCTTAGCTAAGCAAGGTCATAAAAGATCTCTACAAGAAGAATCACAAAGCACTGCTGAAAGACATCACAGATGGCACAAACAATTGGAAAAACATTCCATGCTCATGGATTGGAAGAATCAGTATCATTACAATGGCCATACTACCCAAAGCAATCCACAGACTCAATGCTATTCCTGTCAAACTACTACTGTCATTGTTCACAGAATTAGAAAAACTATTCTAAAATTCATATGGAACCAAAAAAAAAGCTCAAATAGCCAAAATAATCCTGAGCCAAAAGAACAAAGCCTGAGGCACCACATGACCCAAATTCAAACTATACTAAGGCTACAGTAATCAAAACAGCATGACACTGGTACAAAAACAGACACATAGACCAATGGAACACAGAAATAAAGCTGAGTACCCACGGCCATCTGATCTTCAACAAAGCTGACGGAAATAAGCAATGGGGGAAACACTCCCTATTCAATAAATGGTGCCATGATAACTGGCCAGCCATACACAAAAGAATGAAACTGGACCCTTACCTTTCACTATATGCAAAAATTAACTCATGGATTAAAAGTTTAAATGTAAGATCTCAAATTATAAGAATCTTGGAAGAAAACCTAGGAAACACCATTCTAGACATCAGTCTTGGGGAAAAATTTATGACTAAGTTCCTGAAAGCATTTGCAATAAAAACAAAAATTGACAAGCAGGTCCTAATTAAACTAAAAAGCTTCTGTGCAACAAAGGAAACTATCAACAGAGTAAACAGACAACCTACGGAATGGGAGAAAATACTTACAAACTATGCATGCAACAAAGGTCTAATATCCAGAATCTGTACAGAGCTTAAAGAATTCAGCAAGCAAACAACAACAACAACAGTAATAATAATAATAATAAAATAACCCCAATAAAAAGTGGGCAAAAGAAATGAACAGACACTTCTCCAAAGAAGACATAAAAGCAGCCAACAGATATGAAAAATGCTCAATATCACTAATCATCAGAGAGATGCAAATCAAAACCACAATAAGATACTATCTCACGCCAGTCAGAATGACTGTTATTAAAAAGTCAAAAAGCAATAGAGGCTGGTGAGGCTGCTAAGAAAAGAAGATGCTTATATACTATTGATAAGAATTAGTTCAGACATTGTGGAAAGCAGTTTGGAGATTTCTCAAAAAACTTAAAACAGAACGACCATTTGACCCAACAGTCCAATTACTGGGTTTATATCCAAAAAAACACCTGTGCTCATATGTTCATTGCAGCACTATTCACAATAGCAAAGACATGGAATCAACCTGGTTGCCCATTAACAGTGGACTGGACAAAGGAAATGTGGTACATATACACCCATGAAATACCACACAGCCATAAAATGAATGAAATACGTCCTTTGAAGCAGCATAGATGCAGCTGGAAGCCATTATCCTAAGCAAATTAATGCAGGAACAAATACTGTATATTTTCACTTATAAGTGGGAGCTGAACAGTGGGTGCTAATGGACATAAAGACGGCAACAAAAGACACAGGAAACTACTTAGAGGGGTGAGGGAGAGAGGCAAGGATTGAAAAATTAACTACCAGGTACTACACTTACCATGCGGTTTGGGACATGAATTATCATGAGATATACTCACATAACAAACCTGCACGTCTAACCCTTGAATCTAAAATAAAAGTTGCCTTTATTAAATAAATAAAATGTCACCATTCCTTTTGCATTTAATAGTTGGCATTCTACCTAAGGAAGAGCTTGTTTTCCTTCTTGTTTTCTTTTTTCACTTATTTAACCAGTGTGGACTCATGGATTTCTATTTTATTAAATGGCTTATAGTCAGTTCCTATCATGATTTATTTTAATGCTCAAATCATGCCAACTTTGGCCAGTGACAGCTCCTTCAAATGGGCTCCTGTGTCCTTTCCAATGATCCCCATCATTCTTTAAGACCTCCCTGCCTTTCAGGCAGCATGAAATGCTCATCCCCTCTCCTGCTTGCTTTGCCCTGGGCTTGGACTTGGGAATTTTCTCCAACGGGTTCGGGTTCCTCATAGTAGAGAATGGTATTTAGAGCCAAGATATACACACAAGGTGACCTTGTTCCCTGCTGCTCAGGTGTCACTGCCCCCCGGTCTCTCATTGGACAGAGCCAGAGAATGAATGAACAAATGCATGTACTGTATTTACAGCGATATTTTCTTTTTTCTTTTTCTTTTTTCCATTTTCTTGAGACAGAGTGTTGCTCTTGTTGCTCAGGCTGGAGTGCACTGGTGTGATCTCGGCTAACTGCAACTTCCACCTCCCGGTCAAGTGATTCTCCTGCCTCAGCCTTCCAAGTAGCTGGGATTACAGGTGTGCACCACCACGTCCTCCTAATTTTTTTTTTTCTTTTTTTTAGTAGAGATGGGGTTTCACAATGTTGGTCAGGCTGGTCTTGAACTCCTGACTTCAAGTGATCCACCTGGCTCGGCCTCCCAAAGCGCTGGGATTACAGACGTGAGCCACCACGTGCGACCAGCTATATTTATTTCTATATCTATCATTTTGAAAACCATGAGTTCACACTTATACTGCCAATTCCAATCCAACACCACAGGGTTCTTTCTAGCTTTCTCTCTGTCTGTATCTGTACCTCCCTCCTTAGCTGTGCCAGACTACACTATTGTGGTCAGTGTATTTACATCGTTGCTCCCCTCCCCCTGCCCCACTGAATATAGCCCACTTCCAAGCTGGGCTGGGTCCTGCCCTGTACTGACACCGTCTGTTATGAGATTGGCTTGTGTCTCCCAAAAAGATATGCAGAAGTTCTAATCCCCAGTACCTCAGAATATGACCTTATTTGGAAATAGGGTCTTTACAGGGGTAATCAAACTAAAATAAGGTCTTATGGGTGGACTATAATCCAATATGACCGATGTCCTTATAAAATGGGGAGAGTGTGGACATGGAGACAGCCCTAGAGATAAAACAACTGAAGACACACAGGAAGAAGAAAGTCATGTGACTGGAGGGATCCCACAAGTTAAGGATGACCAAGGGGGCCGGGCATGGTGGTTCCCAGCACTTTGGGAGGCCGAGGTGGGCAGATCACGAGGTCAAGAGTTTAAGACCAGTCTAGCCAACATGGTGAAATCCCGTCTCTACTAAGAATACAAAACTTAGCCAGGCGTAGTGGCGCATGCCTGTAATCCCAGTCACTCAGGAGGCTGAGGCAGGAGAATTGCTTGAGCCTGGGAGGCAGAGGTTGTAGTGAGCAGAGATCACGCCACTGCACTCCAGTCTGGGCGATAGAGCAAGACTCTGTCTCAAAAAAAAAAAAAAAAAAAAAGGATCACCAGGGATTGCCAGCAACCACCAGAAGCTGGAAGAAGGCAGGAAGAATTCTCCCTAGAGGCATCAGAGGGCATGGCCATGCCGGTGCCTTGACTTTGGACTTCTAGCCTCCAGAAAAGTGAGACAAGACATTGTTATTGTTCTAAGCCACCCAGTTTCTGTTATGACAGCCCTAGGAAATTGGCACACTGTCCTTGTTTGAGTCCTGGCTACCCTTGGACTGCCTTCTGGCCCTTAGCAGGCCTGCCCAGTGACTTTGACCGAAAAGGAAGAAAAAGAGAGAGGGAGTCTGGAATCAGAATATTAATGCAGACCCATCTGCGTCCAAAGGCTGTGTTCCTAACTCTTCTTTTTATAGGCTAATAGGCAAGACCAAAATAAGCCTGTTAGCAAGCCGATCTTAGTAAGCGCTCAAGCAGGTGTTGGTGCACTCTGGTCTACGCAACAAACATAGACTGCAGCCTGTTTTAGCTCAGCCCAGGAGCTAAAATTGTTTTTTTTTTTTTTTTAATTTTAATGGTTTTTAAAATAGCAAAATAAGAATAATATTTTGTGACGCGGAAATTAGGAAATTACATGAAATTCAAATTTCAGTGTCCATAAATAGTTTTTTTTTTTTTTTTTGAGACAGTCTCGCTCTGTCACCCAGGCTGGAGTGCAATGCTGTGATCTTGGCTCACTGCAACTTCTGCCTCCTGGGTTCAAGCAATTCTTGTGCCTCAGCCTCCCGAGCAGCTGGGATTGCAGACACCCGCCACCATGCCCAACTAATTTTTGTATTTTTAGTAGAGATGGGGTTTCACCATGTTGACCAGGCTGGTATTGAACTCCTGACTTCAAGTGATCCACCTGCCTTGGCCTCCCAAAGTGCTCGGATTACAGGCATGAGCTACCACACCCGGCCTGTAAATAGTTTTATTGGAATACAGCTACACTCATGCATTTCTGTTCTCCGTGGCTGCGCGATGTTTTTGTGCCGCAATGACAAAGTGAAGTCATTAAAGCAGACATTTTGTGGCTGGCAAAGCCATGTTTACTATCTGGTCCCTAATTGAAAAAGTTTGCCAGCTCTGTTCTAGTGTAGGCATTCAAACAGTATCCTATTGGAGTATGGGGAAAAGAGAAATGACTGTTAGTATGGGAGGCACGGGAAGACTTCCAGGGGCAGTGACACAGGCACTGGGTTGTGGACGATATAAGATTTTGACATTTGTTAATGTATTCATCCATTCAAAGAGCACTGAACACCTACTATGTGCCAGGCAATGAAATATGGAGATGACATCA